AAGATCATGAACCGCTGTTTTTTATTATTTTTTTTTTCATTTGTTTTTTGTTTTCTGTAGCATTTCTCCTACCTCCTTGTTTTGCAGCTTTGAGTATTGTTTGTCTTTCCACTGTTTTTTGACTTTTAAAAAGTCAATTCACCGTACAGGAATACAGATTTATCATAAGCAATTGTAAAGTGTGCTTGGTTGTGCTGTATGTGTATATGTCTACTTGACGTTGGAAAAAAAATATTTATGAAAAGCATTTATACGACAAAATACCACTGGAATGTGAAGCCAGACAATGTTATGATGCAGATTATGATGATAGTCTTTCCCCTTTAACATTCAGTGGCAAACGGTCAGAGCAAACTTTTTTTTTTTTTCAGATAAAAAGAAAAAAAAACTCCCACCTTCATTATCATTTCTTTGGTTTTCTGCTTTTCTGTCTAGCCCTATAGTATACAATAATTAAACGTTTACAGCTTCGTTTTGGGTCAGCCAATTATGGCCATGCAGTTGTACTGATATCACAGGTTGTCACAAGGGCGATGGGTGGGTGGGTTTGTGGTTCTGTTTGAGGGGCCACTCTGAGCCCATCAAGCTGGATACCTTTAAATCCACCTCTCTACTCTGAACCAAATTCTAGCTTCTAGGCATCTGTCTCCACACAGCCCCCAACATCCTACATCAGGTGTGACTACAAGGGGTACAGGACAAGGTGAAAGGTTTGAGGTTTTCTGACCAGGCCCCCCCACATCCTCTCATGCCAACTCCTAAGACAGGACCGGTCCAACTCCCTGTCACCCATCTGCTGTCTCACCTAAACCTCAAGCCATTCATGTTTCCGTTTTGTTTTTTCAACAATGCAATCCTGAAAGCACTTTGCCTTGTTATTCCTTTGTGTGAACATGTGAATGATAAATTTGTTACAGAAATGTTAAATATGTAAAAGATCATTCACTGTTTTGGAGAAACCTGCATCTGTCTTTCTGACGTTAAAAGAAAAAAAAAAACTGTTTAGTGACATTAAACCTGAATATATTTTATAAAATGTTTGCTGCAGCCAATTGGTCTTGTCATTCAGTATTGTGGCTTAGGGTTGTTTGTGTTCAATAAAGTGCTATTGCTAAATATTTCCTGTCTGATGTCATTTTTTGGGGGGGAGGGACAACTAATTAACATTGCATTTTTTTTATTGTACTGTATATGTAAATATGATGACTTGGTGCTAAATCAAATTCCATGGAGTAACTTTAAATGTAAACTTTTCCTTTTCTGTGTAAATGTATTCAAACAACAGTATTTTGGTTCAGTCTTGCATTTCAATCAGCAGGATCTTAATTTTGTGTTTATTGAGTTAAAGTACAYGTCTTTTGTTCTGGTTACTCAGTAGTATTTCTCAAACTTGTCTGTTCTGTGGGGAAAAATAGAGGAGAATAAAACACTGAACCAGTGAAAGGCACACATTATTGGCTTCATCTGTGGATGGATAATGAGTRTGGGTCATACTAGTACAAATACATTTTGTTTGAAAGCTCAGAGTCAACTCTGTTTTAATGTGTTTGTGCTGAAAGAGTTCCTCATTCTCTACATGGAGCTTATTTTCTATACATCCTGCAGCATTCATTTCCTTCCTCTTATGTTCTCAAAGTATTGCAGAAGTTCATTTAGTGAAACCAGCTACGTCCTTTAACCAAAGGCCTCGTCACACTATCATGTTTTAGCCAACTTATGTAACCTTTTCATGTCTTAATTACTAATAGGTTATACATTTGATGTAGTTATTAGCATTACAGTATACACACACCTAAAAGAGGCTTCCAGTTGATTTTTAAAAATTCCATCTTCATTGTAGATGTCTTTAAAATTTTCATAAGTTGCCTAAAACATTATAGTGTACGGAGCTCGCAAGGGCACACTGGGTTTTTTTTTTTCCTTTTGCGTTCCCACGCAAAAGATTGTTTTGTATATGAACTGAATTAAATCAGACTTTTTTTTAAATATCCGGTTACCAAAACAGGATGTGTCGCCACAAGTTCATGAAGTAGACATTGATGTTGCGTGGCTGCGTTGTGTTATGACATACTTCCATGCGTGGTTGTACTGTGTTAAAATATCGACATATGACATACTTCCATGTGTGGCTGCGTAATATATTTATTCTGAAGCTGAATTAAAGCAGTAGGCTAACTCGTTAATGGTGAACATGTGAGTTTGCTAATAAACCAGCAGGCACAACAGTGGTTAACTACTTTTGCGAGGGAACGCAAAAGAAAAAAAATCTCCCATGTCACCTCGCGGGCTCCGTAATAGTGTGACAGCGCCTTGAAAAAATCTTGACCTGGAAAGTGTTTTTTTTATTGTAGAAATCTTCCAATGCTCCATCAGACTTTATCATCTGCTCCAAAATGCTGCAGCCCTTAGTTTRACCAACACTCCTAGACATGAGCACATGACCCATTTTACTTTCTCCACTGGTTTCCAGTACATTTTGAAATGGACTTTAAACTTTTAAAGCTCTTAATGGTCTCGACCCACCTTATTTAGCTGATCTAGTAGCATTTCATGAGTGTCAACTAACACTTCTTTCTCATTTGTCTCAAAATCCAAGGACAAACACTGGGGTGACTGGGTGTTTTAGGTTGCTGCACCCAGACTGTGGAACCGATGACCTCAGGACTTGTGCTCCATCATTGATCTGGGCCTTTTTAAGTCTAMTCTTAAAACTTTTTTATTCGAGCCRGCTTTTAATTCCTAGTGGTTCTCTTTTATGTTTTTAACCTTTGTATTGTGAAGAGCTTTGTGCACCGTTTGGCTGTTGGAAAGAGACCTAAAAATTATTGTTTGACTGGTTGATTGAAAGAATTATGCCAACCTGTCTTGTTTTATATGTATAAAAAAAACACTGGGCAAAAGTCCAGAACCAATCCTTGTTTTGGTGTAATAAAGCAGACAGTTTTTTTTTATTATTATCATATTGTAACGTGGTCTTTTTCAGCTTGTTTAAGACAGGTTGGATTGTGTTATTTGACTTTATTTAAATAACTGAACCTACATGACATAAATACTGTACTGTTAAAGTATTAAACTTGGGAAGATTAGTATTTAGTCTAAATATGACAATGATTGTTGCACACACACACACACACACACACAGATCCACGTCACAAACGTCACAGCCTCCTGGAGGACTCGTTCCATTCACCTCATCACTTCTCAGTTCCGGTGACACACATCAACATTTTTACTCGTTTCCTGCTTCCATGCATCACTTTATATATTTATCTGGTGTTCTGTATATTTAAAGAGAGGTGGGAGGGGGGAAAAAGCAGCTTGATTTTAAAAAAAGAAAAAGNTTTGCATACAAGTCACTGTTGTTGACAGATAGATGCTTCATTCCAATAAAACTATGTTTCGGAGCATCATCTGGATTGTCACTCAGAGGTTCGTCTATAACATCAGTGTCACCTGCTTCTGGGTTAGTATTGACAGGTGGCGCCATAATGAGACCAGGATGTGAGGTGATTGTGTTTTCACACTCCTTAGGTTTGTTCACTTTGATGGGCTGGCGCTGTGACATTATTTTGAAGGCTTCCTTTACATACGAGTCATCGCTGAAGATGGGAAGATGTTTCATTGTAATGAAGTTGTGTTTCAGAGCATCTAATGGGCTGATCCGCTCTCTAGGATTCACAACTAGCATCTTTTTCAAAAGGTCTATGAATTCTCTCGCATCTTGAACCTCGTGAGGATTGTCAAAATAAGATGCCCTTTTAAACAATTCATCCAAAGATTGTAAATCGGTAATTTTTTCACTGATCGTCTCTCCTGACTCTTCTTGGTATTCTGTTGCTGTTTTGAATCTCCAGGTAGAGTCAGTCTGGTCCTGTGTAAAGTACTGTGTGACCCGGGTCGAGTAGTCAAGAAAAAACTGGTCTGGTTGACCAAGGAGATTTACAATCGATCTTAAGATTGCGTAGTCCGAATTACCTGGAAACATACGCCGGCCAAGAAAAAGCTCCCCCAAAGTGCAAGCAAGCCCCCACATGTCCATGGCTTCGTTTGGTGAATACCCCAGGTAGACTTCTGGTGCTCTGTAAGCTGGAGGCTGATATAAATTAAACTCAGATAAATCATGAGTGAAACTGCAGAGCCCAAAATCTATTAATTTCACTCTGAAGGGCGACGACATGTGATCAACCAACATTATGTTGTCAGGTTTAATGTCTGTATGAGTCATACGAAGTGCTCCTAGCGCAGCGAGAGTAATCAACATTTGTTGTGTGATGGTTCTGATCTCAGATACTCTCAGAGGCAGCCAGACTCTTTGTAGCATCAATTTTTCCAGGCTTCGGTCCAGCAGCTCGTATGTAAAACAGTAACTGCCTTTATACAGAAACCAGTCAAAGCAGGTCATGACGTTGATCTGGTCCGGATTGAACTTTCTGAGTCTTAAAATGGCTTCCAATTCTTGATTARCAGAACATCTGTTTTCCGGGCTCATCACCTTCAGAGCAACTGGCTTTGTCTCATTTTTCAGGCATCTAGAAACTAACCCATAACAGCCTCGTCCGAGAAACTTTTCGATTTTATAAACATCTGAAATCGTACGAAGACAAAACCCTTCTCTCATTTCATCCATCAATTTCCTCTTGGAGTCTTGTAGTTGAGTTATTTTAAACTTCTGGAATGTTCCAGGACTTCTGACAATGTCTGCATTTGAATTTTGACATTCAGAAGTCATTGTGAAGTTACTGTTTGCAGAAAGCTAGTAATCTTCAAGATAAAACAAAAAAACTTGTTATAATAGTCAGAAAAAACACGAGAGACCAATAGGTCCAACAGGTCACCAAGCAGWATGCACGGATTGAAGACTGATTCTGCAACGGAAGAAGAGTTGACACACAATACTTGGTGACGTCACGAGCAAAAAAATTCTATTCTGCACCCACGTGACAAAGTCACGTGATACCGGCATGTCGGATGGCCAAGTAGGCAGGAGACGGAGCAGGGTATTGAATGAATGGCAGCGAGAGGTTTTTGAAGTCTTTTTTTTTTTTTTTTTTTTT